CTTCACCCTTTCTTCCTCCTTGTGATTCAAGTGAGTAAATCTCTACAGGTAGCTTCTGCTAAGTGATTTTGTATCATTTTTTTACCTTCACCGCTGAACACCAAAGACACAGAAGTAGGGTGCAGCATGCTGGAAGATGGAAACACTGTGGGCTAATTTTTGCTTTGGACTGTACAACCAAAGGAAAACAAAATGAAAAAAAAAAACCAAAAACAAAAGTAAAAATAAAAACAACAACAAACAAAACTAAAGTAAATTTTAAGAACCATTCTGATTTTTCCTCTCATGGTTACCTGAAGATTCAGTTCAAGAAGGTTTGTGCTGCTGTTAGTCACAAAGACCAAAGAGCAGGGAACACAGGTTGCCGTGTCTGATGGAAATGGCCATGGGCCAATTGTCTTCCCTATGGCAAGAAGTGTTTGGGATTAGGGAAAACTTCTAAAAGCATGGATAATTTTAAGCACAGCGCCAGGATCCCACAGGAGATGGAGACGGACGATGGCGATCTCACCGAAACTCGCACCCGCAGTAGTTTGGCTCCGGTTCCACCAGCTTTGGGACTGAGAGGGAGACTAGATGCAATAGCAGAGGGTTCAAAAGAAGCGGGAGCGGGCTCTGTTCCCCTCCCGCCCCTCTGGCCGCTGCAGCTGCGGCAGCGCTGTCAGACTTTCCTTCCCCGAGCAGCGGGAGCGGCCGTGACTCAGCCGGCCGGAGTCAGAGCCGCTCCCGGCAGCGCGGCTCTCGGCATCCCCCGAACTCCTTCCAAAGCCGGCCCGTGCTCCTTGCGACTGCAAACCGCGCGGGGAAGAAGTGGGAGGTGCTCCGACACTCGGAAACTTCGGCAGCATTGATGGGAAAAACCGGGGTGTTTCCCAGATTCGTGGCTGCCAGCAGCTGGTGAAAGTATTTCGTAGGGACCTAAGGAAGGGAATAGTCCTGCTCCTCCTGGGCATTGCTATTTACAAGGAGTACAATTTTTTTCCTCACTGAGCTTTGCAAAATGTTAAATCACAAAAAAAAAAAAAAAAAAAAAAAAAAAAAAAAAAAAAAAAAAAAAAAAAAAAAAAAAAAAAAAAAAAAAAAAAAAGGGAAAAAATTAAAAAATAAGCAGAGACTGCTCACAGATGTAACAGACCTAAATGAGTTCAAAACAAACTGTGCTTTAGGTACATGAGCTCTATGTAAATGCTGAGTGCTACAGAGCCAAAAGAACTTGCCATACTCGCAGGTCCACCTCCCCCAGGACCCACTATCTGTCAGGGGTAAGCAGCAATGAAAGGAGATCAGAAATAGAACATCCCCACAAGTGTCTCTCCAACCACCAGGGCTTTGAGAGCTTACTAAGCTGAAAATTACAGTCAGACTCCTTTGTACAGTAGAGGCCATTGGAGCAGCTTTTTGGTAAATAATTCTCATCCCTTTTTTTTAAAAAAAAAAAGCTTCTGGCTTAATTTGTATCTCATGACAATGTAACAGTGTTCTGTATTCTGTGTATAGGTTTGCTCTGTGTATTGTTTTACTGGCATATAGTAATTTACTTAATAATCCTATGGTTTTACTGCATTACATGACAAAACCAGCCATCCTATTTATTTAATCTTGCCACCTGCTAATTCCTCTGGGCATGCCTTAACTTTTATACTGTGACTTATCGCTCCCTGTTTACCTTTCCTGCGCTGCCAGTGGTTTCAGGGCTCTCTGGAACCTGATTCTACACAACATATCCTCTTTTCTTTTTGCCTGTGAGGCCGTGACAGGCAGGCAGCGTGCTGTGTGTGGTGGGGAAGGAGAGGGGCAGGGGCTGTGCTGCTGTCACAGCCAGGGTTTGTTTCACCATCATGTGATTGTGTTCACGCTGCCCCGGGTGCCTGCCAGGGACTTGGGCTCTTATCTCTGGGTGCCCCAGCTGAGAGCAGAGCTGCAGTGGAGCCCTGCCTGCTCTGAGCACCCCTCAAAAGCGTAAAAGACTTCAGAAAAACAGTCCAGATGCAACTCCAAGGCAGAGGGGTGGGTGGGTGGTCGTTTGCCATTTGGGGTGGTGGGGCAAGTGCCACACACAGGCATTTCCTCAGAGCACGAACACCCTGAGCACACAGAGCCTCCACTCCAGAGCACAGCAGCCCAGAGCTGCATTATTATTGTTCAGAAGGCACACAATTAATTTCACAGACTGTAAATATTTCCAGCAAGAGCACTCACTGGAGGTGGGGGTGCCAAGACCCGCTGTCGTCTTCCTCACTGCTGGGAGAGCATTTTTGTTTTATTGCACAGACAGAGGGTTCTCCATGCCCTCGCCATTCTTCTCACAAGTATGTGTTGAGATGGCATGCTGGGTTTATCACAGGCTGAGGAAGAAAACTGGAGCTGGAGTCTCTGCTTCCTGTCATCCCAGCAGCCGATTTTAGCTCGTAGGGCTCTTGAGAAGAAAAATCGCATTTCGTCTGTGCCTGTTGGAGTCTGAGCAGTCCCACAGAGTGGCTCTGTCACCTCAGGTGAGTGGTCCAGCACTTGTTAGCCCAATTACAAAACCCATATGCCCACGCAGGGGAGGGAATATCGACAGGCAAAAGGAATACTGTGGGGAAGTAGTGGAGGGGGATGGAGGTCAGGCAGGCTCTGCCCAGACTCATGATTTCTTTAGCATGGTTTCTTTAACTCTCTTGTTATCTTTACAGCAGTTTCCAACAATGGGCTTCTCCAGAGAAGCTAAAGGATCTGCCAGAGCTCATCTAGAGCTGTGGGATGGGAATTTGTTGTCCTGCCTCTCAGTATTACAGGGTGGAGCACAGGTTCCACACTGCGCTGAGATTTTTACATTTCCACTCAAATCATGTCAGCCTAGGACCTTCTAAAATAATACCAGGAAATTAATGTATTTTAATTTTCAGGACACCAAGATAAATTATTGCTCATTAAGACTTAAACATCTCAAATGAGGCAGTAATGTCAGCTTTATTTTTTTTCAGGAGTGAAGCTGGAATACACACCTGAAAACACATTTTAATTCTCAAAATCTCACTCATCAGATAAAAACTTCCTAAAACCTGCTACAAAATAATGTCATGAATCAGCTGATCTACCTCTGGCTGGGCTTTCAGTAGGGAAAGCCTGCTGAAAGCCTACTGTCCACGAGGAAAGGTGGCACTTCAATGATGAAGACCCTGTGCATAAATCCAGGTTGAATTCCCATCCCAGCTCTATCCAGCAGATGCTCACAGAGCTTGTGGTCATGATGAGATGGGATACTGGAATCTAGCACGATTCCCAGATCTCTCTTTGTGTCTCACATTTGTAAAACAAATATATGTATTGGTCCCGTGCCCACATTTGGGTCTGTGGCACATCTTCATCCAGAATAAATTAATTACAGGCGAAGGGAAAAGAGCATGTTCCCAAGTGCCTTTGATCTGGGGGTTAAGAGAACTGGTGAGTGAGGCTTTGGTGCAACACAATCTGCTTGCCCCTTCCCCTGCTAAAATTAAACCCAGTGATGTGCACTTTAAAAATAGTCCCATCCAAACTGTCCCAAAACCAGACCAAAAGTTAAAATGGAGCAAAAAAGATAGGAAATGTTGCCTGAAACCATCCTGACTCAGGGCCTCTAGGGCTTATATTCCATGAAGGGAAAATCCACATGCATAAGTTTCCTTGTTCATGCATTTACCACACTGTGCTTTCTGCCTCTGCTGTCAAACCCCCAACCAACCCAGGAAAGATGCTTTTACAGTTCTCCAAAAAACAGCCCCACAGAGACACCCAAGCCATAACCCCCAACATATTCAGTAGCAAAGGGGAATTCAGAATGGAATTAGAACCATTATCTGTAGCCTAGGGGTGAGTGCCACCTGCAAGATGCCACTCAGCAATGGCCCTGCAATTTCCCTGGATGCAAGTGGGCCAGGAAGGGCCTGGGTACAGCAAGAGCATGGCAGTGAGAGGAACTTGCAAATGTGGGACACTCGGGGGCTGCCTGCCAGAAGTTGGGAAGCCTGCTGAGCCTCTTTCCTTCTGGCAGAGCCCTTGCATACTCCTGGCTTTGCATTTTTGAGGGTTAAGTGCTGGTCTGAGATTACAATTTAAAAAAAAAAAAAAAAAAAAAGAGAGAAAGCAGTCAGAGAATGGTGCAGAGATATCTGTGTCAGGTTTGCCTGAGTAGGTTTCTGCAGCACAGCACGGGCTCAGGCTGTAACTTTGGAGAGGACCAGGGAATCCCTGTGGGGCGCTGAAAAGGGGAATGACCTGAAATCCTACTCCACCCCCTGTACAAATACTGTAGCCACACAGCGGGAGGTGTAAAAAGTGAGCGCCAGCTATTTTACACCTCACATTTCTAAAAAAAAAAGTTTAAAAATTTGTTCTTTGGGGGCCCGAGTTTGTTGGTGTCTACGGCGACATTCGGAGCATCCCTCCAGGACCAGACCTGGGAGAAGAAGCTTTCCCGGGAGACGGGCTGCCCTGGCTGCCGGCACAGAGGATGGAGAACTTTAACCCTGCTCTCGCAGCTGGGAATCTCGTCATCTTTCCCACCTGGACTGTGAGAAACACGGGGAGTGTCCAAGCCCGCACTTTGGGCAAAGGGGAAACGATCGCGGGGCTTCAGCAGGAAAACCAGCCTCGCTTTTCCTCTTCACCTCGGGAAAAACGGGAAAGTGCAGGGGCAAAAAATAATAAATAAATAAATAAATAAAGATAAAATAAAAAGCCCTGGAAGCGGCGCGGGGGGTTCCGAGCGCGGGGCGCGGCGCAGCGCAGGGCGCGCTGACCTTCGCGGCCGCGCTGTCCCCGCCCGCAGCTGCCGCCGTCGCTCCGGCGCCGCCGCCCCGCGCCCAAGGTCAGCCCCGCCGCGGGTACGCGCGGGGATTGCGCGGGGACTGCGGGGGGCGGCCGGGCGGGGAGAGCCGCGGCGTCACCGGCAGGGCCGGGCAGGGCAGGGCCGGGCAGGGCGGGAGGAGGGCCGGCTCCCCGCGGAGGGCCGCGCTCCGGCGTGCCGGGCCGGCTGCCGCCCGGCGCTCGCGTTTAAATGTGCCCGGGGGCGGCGGGGCGCTGCGCGGAGCCGCTCCCGGAGCAGCGCGCCCGCCCCGGCAGCAGCGCGGGGGGGTGCGAGGGAGGAGGAGCGGCGAGAGGAGGGATCCTGGCAAGTTCACTTTGGTACCAAGTGGCAGGCGGGCTGCGGAGCTCGGACGGGCGATGGAGAAGGATGAGATCCACCTGCGCAGGCTGCCGGCCGCCGCGCCCTGGGGACCGCGTAAGTCTCGGCCGCCGCCGCGCTGGGGAAGGTGCGGGATGAGGGCGCGCTCCTGCCCGGCCGGGGACGGGCTCGGCGGGCGGCCGCCCCGATAAGGGATTTATTATTAGCGTTTCATCGACTATTTTTAAAAATCCAGAAATAATCGCCACCGAGTACCAGTGAAATGAAATAGCTCGTCTCCCACCTCCCGCTTTCCTCCTCCCGCCTCCCAAAGCGTAAAACAGTGTGAAGTCCTTTTAACCTATATTAATATCATAATTAAAAGCTCGTCTAACCGCGGGAGGCCAATCTAATTATGAAAAATTGCCGGAGTACCAAGTATATGTGACAAATCCTTGAGTTGATGATTGCTGTTAATTCACACCGTGCCGCGGAAGACGAGCTAAAAAAAAAAAAAAACCCAACTTGCTAAATGAAATGGATCTGTCTGAGATTGTCAGTAATGTTTTTATAGAACGGAATAAATCATGTATCTCACTATCATTAACTAATGTGTTCAACAAAAGAAATTATATATATTGGAAGGGGAAAATACATTCCTTGGCTGAGAAGTTGCAGAATGTTTGGAGCCAATGAGCAGATCATTTAAGTGGTAGGGGGTGGGAATTTCCTTGGCTTCCCTCTGGAAATAAATCACGGCTCAGTGTCTGTGTGCATGCATGTGCACCCACATGCGCATTTGTATAAAATCTGTGTATAGAAAACCTTCGTGCACACGCACTGGGACACAAATTTTGCAAGCACTATTTACTGAATGCATTTTTTCTACTAGCTTGGAGACAATAAAACCAGAACTGAGATGCTAACCAGGAACGTGCTGGAACACTTCTGATTATCCGGCTGAATTGTATACAAATGAAGTAAATTTAGCATGGCACCATTTATAAATTCCATGCTTTACAATCAAAATTCCAAATCTAGCTGTTTGCAGCTAAGAATAGCGCAGGGAGCCCTTTTCTTTACTCCCTCTTTTTGGATTCCCACGAAAACCGTGATCCTAGAGCCTGCTCATTAAATAGCCAAATATTTCACTGGAGTTCAGCCCATTTCTAGAAGAAGTGCTGTTTACTCATCAAACCTAGGCTGGCCAGAGTGCTCAGAATTTAAACTTTTTCGTTAATGTCTGAAATAAAACAGGTGGGCTTTATATCTAAGGAGCAGGGGACAGGGTTTCTGCATGATACTGGTTGTCCCACCTTAACTTCTTCCTGGAAACAAGGAGCTCCAACTTTGCACAACTGCAATGGAAGGCAAGTAGATCATGGGAGGCTCAAGTGTTGTGGCAGTACACTAACAGAGATATCAGTAAGAGGACTAAATGATAAAATAGCACTGGAACTACCATTACTCATGGGGCAGGTAGCAATTTATCACGAAGTAATCACAGTGATAGGGTGGTGAGATCCTGAGAAATCATTTGAGTGGCTTTTTATCTTTGAGAAGCACAGTCTTTTGCAATGACATTATTTAATTTACTGAATCACCCCTTAGCAGCATGAACAACTTCATTGATGAGTTCAAGGAGCAGTTTTGCTCTTGGCAGCATGTGTTTGTATTTCTACTGATAACCTATCCAAAAGAGCTTGTTTGTAAAAGCTGTTTCTAAAATGAAGCTCCTGTCTAATGACATAGCAGCATTTGTGGTATAAATTCATTTTGTGACTTGCTGGAGAGACACGTGGAGACCTATCCTTGAAGTTTTTGCATTCAAATAAATCCTCCTGCAGACAGCAAAGGAAACCTTCTCATTGCAAGGAGTTAGGAAAAAGTTGGGTGCAGCGAAAGGATGATGGAAGACAGCAAAGCAGAAGGGAAACTCTGTTCCCCTGGGCTCTGGGTAGATACTATCTGTTGCCTCAACCCAAAGTACTGTTTCAGTTATTGCTACAGAGGAGAAAAGTGAGCTCAACACATTATTTTTGGCCCTGTCGGTGGCATGAAAGGACAGGTGTCCTGAGCTACATCTGTGCCCTGAGGAGCCAGGCACCACAGCTGATGCCTGCCAGTTTATTGTGGTGCCCACTCCTTCTCTCTGCATGGCGTAACGAGTGCATCTGCTGAGGATGGGGTGAGGGTCGCAACTGGGGTGGGCTCTGGGGTAAGGCAGGGGCATGTTGGCTCCTGAAAGGACTGTGGTGATATCCTGTCACTGGAGAGAAAAGCTTGGAGGCACTGGGACAAGTGCCCGGGACTAAGCCCAGCTTTAGAAGTCAAATCTTTACCCCTTAACCTTTCAGCAGTCAAAAATCCCCTGAGCAAACATCTGCCCCCTTTGAAAACAAACTTAAATTATGTCAGACCAGTGCCCCCAAAAATGAAATATTTCTTCCTCTCTTCTCTGCAAGACCTTGTCCAGCCCAGAGCTGGGAGTTCCAGCATGTCTCCATGGGTTTCTGGTGTGTACAGCCCATCTTTCCCTGGTAGCACTGCAGCTCCTTCCATTAACAGTGAAAATGATGGAGCATATTAAGCTAATAATTAATCAGAGATGACAAGGGACTAATAACTGTATTGATTTAATTAGGACTTCTTTTCCAGCTCGGTAACTTGCAGTCATGCACATCATTAACTTAATATTTTAATTTGTCGTAATAACTTATTAATTCCTGGGGGTGAGCGTGCACAGGGCCAGGGCAGGGCTCTGACTTGGTGCCGGGCTGCAGGCATGTGCCACGGGGAGCATTCCCTGTCCTGCCCCAGGCTGGCAGCAAGCAGGGCAGCCTGGCAGTCCCTGGGAGCTCTGGCAGGGCATCAGGGTGTGGGAAATGGGGCATCGTGTGGTGGATGTGCTGGGAGGATGGTGGAGAGCTCTGGGGCCACACGCCGAGGTTGCATGGGTGTGTGATGTGAAATATGGGGGAAAGCAACGTGCCAAAACAGAAGCAGGCAGCAGGGTAACCCTGGGAAGCAGCAGTGTTTGTTGGCATCGAGAAGGGAAAAATGTTCCTTTTGACTCGAATTGCACCCTTTGGGTTCTGGCAGTTTTGAGAAAAGGAAATGCTTGGGGATGTGCTGTGGTTGGAAAATAAGGCTCACTTTTAATTAGGATCACTTTGGGGAGAGGAAGAAAGGAAGGGGCTGTGATAGGCAGGAAAAGCTTTACTGTGTGAAAGGCTGATGAAAGCCAAATTTGGACCCACTCTCATTTTATTGGGGATACTTGGCACTAACCAGGGCATGGTTGACATCTTACACAGCTGGGTCCTGGGTGAGGTCCCCTGGGATACAGCTCTGACCAGAAACCTCTCCAGCAGGAAGGAGCTGTTCTCACAGAGGTCACAGTGCTGAAGAGGTGCTTGTATCACACTGTACAGCAAGGTCTGTGACTCCTGGGCAAAGAGAACCCCTTAGCCTCCACACAGTGCTCAGCAGCTTTCTCCCTCTTGTACAGGTACTCGTGAATCTTTGCCCTGTGCCTTTGGAAGGCTGATCCCTCTGCTAATATCCTCATTTGCCACAGAGGGCAGTCAGCGCAGGGGTGAGATCTGGGAAAGCCAAAGGCACCAAGCAGGCTCCAGAGGAAAGCCTGTCCAAAGTCCTTGGCAGTGTCCTCAAGCAAGATGACTGGGAACTTGAAGTACATCTACACTATCAAAACTTGCATTTCATATAGAATTCTTGGGTCAGGGCATAGGTGCACCACTGGTTTGGTGAGCTCTAGGAACAGAAGTCACCACACTCCTTATTTCTTGTGAGTGTTTTCAGGGATTCTGACAAAGCCCTTCTGCTTCACAGCCTCACATTTTATTATACAAGCCATGTCAGCAAAGTGGGATGAAAGAGCTCTGTATGATTTCTGAGACTGCAGGAGGTGTTCAGCTGGCGTGGCATTATTTGCCTCCCTGACCTCACCCATGTTTGCAGCCAAACTGGAGATCAGGACAAGACCTGCAGTTCTGTCATAGGTACAAATCCCAAAGGGAAGGGGCTTTACAAATGACAAATTTTCAGGGGTTGGCAGCTTTGCTGGGGCCCTGTCACGGGGTTATTTTCAGTGGTGCTAAGTCATCTTGTGCCAGCTGTTAGGTCTGAGCAATGCCACTAACACTGCGCCACTTTGTTCTGGTGCTTTGAAGAGCACAGAGATAGTGGTGTCTCCATTGTTCCTGCGAGGTAATTTATGGTCAATGTGGGCCTTTTAGCAACAACCACAATGTCTGCCTGGCCCGGGGGGCTGGGAATACACAGGAAGCAGAGCTCCTCTGCATTAGTCACCAGGTTTAGTCCTGGGCGAGCCCACATGCCCTCAGGGAAATAGATTCTTATTTATTTGGTTTAGCCTTTGATTCGTATCCCTCATCCCTCTATTTCTGAAAGTAGTACTACATCCTGGTGGGAGGGCCAGCCCTTCTCCCTGCTCCCTAACCTCCCTGCACCTTTAGCCTTTCTCTGCAGCAGCTGACCCGTGTCCCCTCTCCGTCCTCATCTTGTCTTTGTTCCATGCCTTTGTGCTGCTCCATGTGTTCCAGCTTCCTTTGCTCTTTCCAGTGGCTTGTCCCTGCCTCTCCTCTGTGACTGGCCCACATGCTAGTGTTTGCTGTCTTCTTTGGACTCCCACAGTTCACATTTTTTGAACTTTCTGTGTCAGTCTGTCCTTCCAGCCATTACGGAAACTATTTCCAGATTTGAGCTGATGGAAAGATAGCAGTAACACCAGACCCAGTGCCATTCCTCTTTAATATCTTTGCCTGCTTACCTTATCTACATATCTGATTTATTCTTGGCAGCTCTATCTGTGCAAGGACCTGGATGTACATTCTTATTCCTATCTGTGGTATATTAATAATTTATACAATTACTGAGATGGCCTTTCAGACTGCAGCTCTTTTCTTTTTTCAAACTGACACAAACACCTATGACTTTTTCCACACAACTGTAAGTGCTCTGTGGGAGTTTAAAAACCTGAACTCTGTTATGAAAAGCCTAAGTGGTTAGCAGGCATCAACTGCTTTTTTCATATCCTATAGATTACTGGACTTCTACCATGACATTAGTGA